GATACGCAATAGTAGAAATAATACAACAAATCATGCAAATAATACGTAATTAATAATTCAACATAATACACAAAATCATACGTAATAGTAACAATAATACAACTTATTATTTAAAATAATATGTAATAGTATTGATAACATAGCAGATTAATTCTAGAAATTTTTTACTACACACAATTAATTTATAAATATTAAAATCATTTAAATAAATATAAAATTTGAACTTTTAAATTGTAGAAATTTCTAGAAAATCGGGAAAAATACAAATACTCCTTTAAAAAGAATCATAATTAAATATTTTAAAATACTATAAAATTATTTTAACTAGTATCAAATTTTACGGTCATTACACTACTTTTGTTGATATGTATTCAAAATGTGGGAAATTTGAGAAGGTGAGGGTGTTTTTAGAAAGTTAACATGTACTGGCTAAAGTTAATAGCTACTGATATAGTTAGCAAGTAACTGTTATAACCTGTAAAAATACTAAATATTAATCTCCACAGAAAACTCGACATGTGTCTTACACTCTGCCTAACTAAACTAATTCAAAACCAGGTTAACATCTGACTCGACATAGCCGACTTAATTGGCTGACATCTTGTTTAACCGAGTCAAAAGGCAGTATTACTTGGACAACTTCCAGACTGACCACCAGCGATACGACTCGGACCATTATTCAGCTGACATCTGGTATAACCGAGTCAAAAGGTGGTACTTCTCAGCCCTGGACCTGAGGAGTCGAAAGACAACAGTTACCTCGAACCCCTTGCTAACCGAATACTCTTGCATTAACTATCCTGATAACATCATCATTACCCTAGCCCTCATAGTCTTTATGACTCATCGGGCCCAGTTAGCACCAAACACCTGTTGTATTCCCATAATAAATGACCAGGTGACTTACCTTATTTAGCAACCAATACATAGCACGTGTCTGCCGACTCAGCTGCCTAACTGGACTCGGCCCAAGTTTCATTCTTGCCTCTCAAACTCACTATAAAATGAGCAACACTTCATAAGGTAACTCTCTCTGGCCTTTTTATGTAACGGAGAACTAACTCTAGTTTTTCCACTCAAGATCAATTACTGATTTGATCGTTAGAGGAACACCCAGAGAACCCAACTCTGCCCTCTTACGAATTCCTTCGTGTGCAGGAAAGAATAGCGAGCCCCAGAACCACTCATCAGAAGGAGTTAGAGGACCCTAATCATTCCACAAATCATCACACAAAACCCCTATTTGATAACAGACATCAACAGTAATGGATAAAGTTAATATGTACTGGGTATAGTTAACATGTTATGAGTATATTTAACAGGTACTGGATATGGTTAATAGGTACTTGATATAGTTAACATATGATGGGTAAACTTAACATGAAAGAAATATTCTTAACACATAACGGATAAACATAATATGTAATGAATAAACTCAACAAGTTATTATGGAAGCCATGAGGCAGTTTAAAGGAGCATATCCATTTATCTTTAAAAGTCTATGCTATGCATATGAGGTTGTTGCATGCAAGCGTGGTAGTAAATTGATCCTTGGTGTTAAGATAAGTGTTAGTAATGCTTTCTCATTTTTATTTTTGCTTCAAAGTAATTTTTTTCCTTGTCTTTATTTGCTAAAGAAAGATTGGACCGTCTAACTGAGTACAATTGTTCATTCAAAATTAAAACTTTGTACTCTCCTTCAAAATACCTAAATCACAAGATAACTCACATACCATTAGCATGGAACGTAAAATCTTAATTCGATATAGTTGTACATTACAAAAACTAAACATTATTTTTAAATTAAAGTTTTAAACTTGCAGATACCTCACACATCTCTCTTTGGTATTTTATTAAATAATTTACAACAATTGCTAAAAAACCAAATTGAGAATGGTAGCAAGCTTGAAAAGAGGTGGTCAAGAGAGGAGAAAATGGCAGCAAGATTGGAGGAGGAGATCTTGTCAAGCTAGTGGAGATGAGCTTGAGGTTGGTGATAGTGGAAGGGGAGAGGCAGACGACAGGGTCTGAGTGAAAGATAAAGAGGGAGAGGAGGAGGGTTAGGAGAAAGTAGGAGGAGAGGAGGATGAATCACAAAAAGGTGAGTGTTAGGAGGAGAGAAAGAGGGGTGTTTTTGTATTTTTTGGGACATACTACTTAAGAAAATCAAGTTGAGGATGATGGTGAGCTTAGAGAAAAGGTGATCGAGAGAGGAGAAGATGGCAGCAATATCAGAGCAGAATATCTTGTCAAACTAGTTGAGAATGAGCTCAAGGTTAGTGGTGGTGGAGGGGAACGTGAGAGTGGCAGATGGCAAGGGCTGAGGAGAAGATGAAGAGGGGGAGGAGGATCATGAGGAGAATGTAGGAAGAGAGGTGTTGGATGCTGACTCAAACTCTAAGTTGGATTTGGGTTGAAGACTAGGTCTATTCCTAGTAGTTTTCTTGGATGCCAAACTGACTTGATAGGTAAGTCTAGGGTATCTCTAAATAAGACATCATATTCTAGGATTTTTAAGTAGAAAGAAGGAGAGAGACAATATTCTTGTAATCAACGTTTAACAAAGGGTGTAGTAGAGTTCAATGGTATTGTGGGAGAGAAAGGTTTGGCAGACTTTTTTCGAGCAAAAGATTATAATTTGGTTATGATAATGGCTTGTTTTTAATCCTTTAGTTTCCCTTGTTGAGTATTTTCTATGTTAAATCTTGTGTGGTTCTTTTTATTGCATTTATTATTTTTTGGGGTTTTTTGCAAGATCAAAAATCCCAACTATCTTATCCTAAAAAATTAGAATATTTTATTATAATCGAGGTGTACATTGGTCTTTTCTTAGTCATTCCTTATTTTGTGACGTTCTAAACGTAATAGTGTTAGCTTTTAAAGCATAAAGTGAGAAGAGTTCGTAGGGGTTTCTCGAATTTTTAAACTTGAGTGGGGTTATTCAAATTTAAATAGTTGAGGTTTTTTAATCTCTTTTTGAGGCATGTGCCAATTTGAGGAGGGTTAAGTGAGAAGATTTCAGAGGTTATCTCAAATTTTTTGTAACTGAGGAAGGTTATCTATAATATGCTCAAACTTGAGAGGAGTTTTCTCAAATTAATGTCGTCGAGGGGGTTTTTTTCTAAAAACCCAAGATTTTATGTAGCGAGGCCATTTACATGAGTTTTTTCTTTAATCTCTATATTTAAATATATGACTTTGAGATTTTTTTATTATGAATAGTTATAATCTGATAATAATTATAAAATATTTAATTAGTAGAATTTTCTAGTCATGGATAGTTTTAAGTTGCTGAGGATTATTAGATGAATATAAGATTAATTGTCAACATGTCATGCATCTTCTGATATGATAGATGCTTATAATATGACACATGTTAAATTGGTTGTGCTTTTATGATATCCCACTTATTAATTTTTTGTGTATTTAGGAGTTCCACCAATTTCTCTTTATATATAAAAGAGGGATATATATATATATATATATGGAAAAGTAAGAGGACTTTTGTGCATAATTGTTAGAGGGTTCTAATAGCATAATGGATTCCTATAGCCTTTCCTCTCCTACTGTCCCTATCTTAGTTGCTGCTGACCGCTCTCACAAAAAAAAAGAGAGAAAACCCTAGGTCTCTCTCTCTCTCTCTGACCTCTCTTCTTCCAATCGCCTGACGGCTTGTCCTCCTCCCTCTCGCCCGTTGGCCACCGCCATTGACCAAGGTTAGGGTTTCTCACTTTCTATGTAATTTCTTAGTTCTCACTAGGGTTTAGGAATTAGGGCTTTGTGGAATTAGGGTTTAGGAATTAGGGCTTTGTGAAATTGAAATTGAAATTGATTAGGGTTTTGTGAATTAGGGCAGAATCAAACGGGATTTGGTGGATTGTCAAGAAAGAAAGCATCTTCAAAGTTCAAACTTAGAAGAAATTGTAAGATCTTTTACCTATACAGATTTTATTGTTTAATTTCAAATTTCAATTTAAATATTTGATATATTTTAGTCCCTAACATGCTTTTTGGTAGGAATTCTTGATTAATTTATTTTTCTTGATATTTATTAGATTGTAGCAGATTCAGAATTAAATTTGGATATCATGCCTCCTCGAAAGTATATGTCTGGATATGATAAGCGGATAAAGAAACAAAAAATTGAAGAATTCAATCCATCTCAAGCGGGAGCACTTGAAAATTTTATTACTGGTAGTAGAAATAAATATTCTAATTTAGTTCAAGATTCGGTGAATGTTAAAAATGAGCAACCTGGAAATCAAGAAAGTGAAGATTTGGTTAATGAAAATTTGAATGAGAATAGAAATTCCATTGAAGAATGTGAAGAACCTAGCAATGTAAATGAACATGAAGGAAATGTAAACGAACATGAAGATTTGGTACAAGAAGAAAACCTTGAAAGAAGGCCTTCAAACATAAATAACCCAGGAAATTGGGAAAATATTGATCAAAGATTGAGAGACTTACTAGTTGAAAGAGGTCCCAAAAGAAATGATAATCTTGATTTTTCAAAAGATTCAGAAGGAAGACATTTCTCCTCAACACATTAAATTCGTAACTTATCCAATGGTGAACATCATGATAGAAAATGGCTAATATATTCAAATTCTTTGGACAAGGTTTTTTGTTTTTGTTGTAAGTTGTTCAAATATGATGCAAACAAAATTCAATTGGCAAATGATGGAGTTAGAGACTAGAGAAATCTCAGTGCCAGACTTAAAAGTCATGAAACAAGTAGTAAACACATTGTTAACATGAAGAGTTGGATTGAATTAGAGATCAGATTACGACAAAATGCGACAATCGATAAAAGTGTTGAAGAACAAATCAACAAAGAACGAGAACATTAGAGAAAAGTACTATTTAGAGCAGTTGCTGTTGTAAAAACACTTGCTAAAAATAGTTTGGCATTTCGTGGAGATAATGAGAAGCTTTATGGAGAAAATAATGAATTTTTTTTAAGTATAATAGAAATAATTGACGAATTTAATCCAATAATGAAAGAGCATGTTCGTCGAGTTCAGGAGAAAGAAATTCATTATCATTATCTTAGTCACAAAATTCAAAATGAATTTATTCTTCGAATAGCAGATGAGATTAAAAGTTTAATCATCCAAAAGATTAAAGAAGCAAAGGACTTTTCTGTTATTCTTGATTGTACTCCGGATACAAGCCATGAAGAGCAAATGCCACTTATATTAAGATGCATGAATATTTCAACAAGCCCAATAAAGATGGAGGAGTTCTTTTTAGGATTTTTAAAGGTGGATGATACATCAGGACGAGGACTTTTTGAAGAACTTGTAAATATTTTGCAAGAGCTTAAACTTGATATTGGTGATGTAAGAGGACAAGGGTATGATAATGGTTTTAATATGAAAGGAAAACATAAAAGTGTAAAAAGAAGATTATTAGAGATAAATCCTAGAGCATTCTACACATCTTGTGGTTATCATAGTCTTAACCTTGCACTTTATGATATGGTAAACTCTTGTTCGCAAGCTTCATCTTTTTTCGGAGTGGTGCAGCGCATATATTCATTGTTTGCATCTTCTACAAAGCGGTGGAAAGTTCTTACAGATAATGTTAAAGGTTTCACACTTAAGTCACCATCACAAACTCGTTGGGAAGGTCAAGTTGAAAGTGTTAAAGAAATAAGATTCCAAGCTCCAGATATAAGAGATGTTTTGATTTACTTAGCAAGTTCTAGTGAAGATCCCAAGACAAAAAGTGATGCTGAGTACTTAGTAACATATGAAATTGAGAATTTTGAGTTCTTACTTGGTATGGTTATTTGGTTTTATATTTTGAATGCTATTAACAAAATAAGTAAAATCATGCAATTAGAGGATATGCAGATTGATGTTGCTATAGACCTTTTAAGAGGGCTCATTTCTTTTTTTGAAAGCTACAGAGAAAATGGATTTGAAGTAACTATGGTTGAGGCTAAAAAAATTGCAGTTAGAATAAAAGTTGAACCCATTTTTCATGAACGTTGCATCATTCGTAGAAAGAAACATTTTGATGAAAATGCTAATAAAGAGATGGCAATAACAGCTGAAGAATCCTTTAGAGTCAATTACTTCATATATATCGTTGATCAAGCTCTTTCTTCACTCAAGAGTAGATTTGAATAGTTTCAACCATATGATGAATCTTTTGGTTTCTTGTTTAATTTGGAGAGGTTGAAGTCTGCAGATAATGATAGTTTAAAGTGTTTATGTCTTAACCTTGAAGATCTCCTAAAGCATGATAAAAATTTTGATATTAATGGGACAAAATTATTTTCAGAACTCCAAATCTTAAGAGAAACATTACCAAGAGGAACAAAAAAAGCAATTGAAGTATTGAATTTTATGGAAAGGCTAAATTGTTGTTTTCCCAAGAGGAACAAAAAAAGCAATTGAAGTATTGAATTTTATGGAAAGGCTAAATTGTTGTTTTCCAAATGCTTGGATTGCTTATAGAGTATTATTGACAAGGCTAAATTGTTGTTTTCCAAATGCTTGGATTGCTTATAGAGTATTATTGACAATACCAGTTACAGTTGTATCGACCGAGAGAAGCTTTTCAAGTTGAAGCTCATCAAATCTTATCTATGGTCAACAATGTCACAAGAGAGATTGAATGGCTTGGCTATGATATCTATCGAAAAAAATTATTGGAGAAGCTTGATTGGAACATTTTAATTGATAATTTTGCAGCTCAAAATGCAAGGTGATCCCATTAATGTAGTATGAATTGTGTTATTTATAAAGTATCAAGAAGTTTTTTAATTTTAATATTAATACGATTATGTGCTTATTGTCACATTTTAATAAAAAAAATTTGCTATCTTATAAAATTTTTTGTGTATGAAAATAATTGTATATAGAGGCCCCTCATTTGAAAGCTTGATTAGGGTCCCGTGAAAAATTAAGAATATCAGGGCCGGCCCTGTCCAGCTCCCAATATTATTCTCCTTCTGTTCCAGCCCCATGTACAATGGACTTTTGCGATTCAACCCTCTTTTTACTCTACCCCAAAAAATATCCTTAATTTTTTTCAAAAATACCCCTCCTCCTCTCCGCCTAACCCTTCTCCCTTTTGTGACTCAACCTTCTCTCTTCAACCTCCTCTCTTCTTATTATTGGGATTGTATATTTGATTCTTTATATAATTTCATAAGAGCTAGATAGGATTAGAGATCTATCATGATTAAGAGATGGACTCTCATCATGGTAAAAAATTTGAATCCTATTCTAATTAGAAAGTTTGACTAGGTTAGGATTTTGGTTTCCCTATATATAGTCTTCTTTTATTGGAGGAAAAAAAGCAATGAAGAAAAGAAGAGAGCCTTTTTTCTTATAATCTAGGGTTAGCAAATGGCATAAAGTAGATTCAAGAATAGTGTGTGAGAGGTAGGATTTCGTAGTCTTTGTCTGTTTAAAAGATTGTAAGGAGATGATTTGAAGAAAATATGAGAGTTGACTATGCATGTGAGATTGAGAGATTGAAAGACGAGAGTTGAGTAGTTTCTCTTGTAGTTCTTATTGATACGTACTAGATTTCTCTGATTATTGCACTGTGAATGTAGGTCGAGTTGGTTGATCGAACCATGTAAATCCTGGTGTGGTCTTTTGCCTTGATTTTGGTTATTTCTATCTTATAAGTTGTTAGTTGGCTTCCAAATTGCACATATCGTAGTTGGCGGGCGGACTAAAATCCCCAACGATGATAAAAAGAGGAGAAAAAGGGGCAAAATATTATAAATTGATCAATTTTTTTACCAATTAGGGGGTTTCTTTGTAACTAAA